TCACAGGACCAAAGACAGACTTTGCCAAGGGACAATCCACATCCAGCTCTGTCACTTTCCTCCAGGATACTGAGCCCGTTTCTCATCTGTAACAGGAGTGCGCCATCATGTTCTAAGGATTCGAGCAATGTGTGGAAATGGCCAGGGAAGACTTGTTATATAACTGGAACCAAGAAGGTAATCAGTAGATATGAAGGAAAGACTTCACTTGTTTTGTCAGTTTCCTTTACTGCTGTGGGTTACCACAATGACTTTTTTTAAAGAACAAGACCAACTATTGTCTAAAACCTTCTCATGCTATCATAGGTGGCTAAATAGTCATTTACTGGCCATCACACCCTCCAGTCCCATTCTCAGAGGCCACAGCTAGGGATGGGGTGGGGGGAATGGACAACTCAAGCTGCCAAGAATTAGGGTGATGTTGGAGACCGGTGAAGTCCTCTCTGACTGCTCCCCAGGGAGATGCTGCTTCCTGGCAGAGATGTCCCACGGTCACAGCACTGACGACGCACTGTATTTGACTCACAGTTCAGTTACCACACACGCCAGTCACAGGCGCTGACTGTAAACGAAGGGACAGTTAAGTCAGCCGGGTTCGTGTTTCGTGGCCTCTGTGGAGATGAGAACCCCTGAAGACAGATTTATCTTCCTGGCTAAACATGAATAGCAGCCCTGGGAGCTGCGATTGGCAGAGGGGCTGTGGTGGGCTTCACAGCCACACCAGAGAGCCAGAAAATCTGTTAGCCAGAAAGAATGCAAAAACTGATGGGTTTTCATTTCATTGTTGTTCCTTAACTATGTGGCCCAGGGCCAAGTTTCTCTCCTTTTACAAATCTTATGTAAGTTTTACAGATTCTAAATGCTGACAGTTATATTCTTTTTTTTTTTTTTAAGATTTATTTATTTATGCATACAAGAACGGGAGTACAGGTCAGAGGTGCAGGGGCTGGTGAGAGGATTCAACAGAGACAGAGTTGGAAGCAGAACAGGCTGATTGAAATACATTGCTGACGGGAGCAGCAGGGAGACAGGAGAGAACTGCTGCTCCATGTGGGTCACCTTCCTTACCGGGGACTGAACTCACATTGCAGTGGTGGCAGATAGCTTCATAGAGCTGTGCTTTAACCCGTTGCATCACCAGGGAGGGCCCATCACAACTGTATTGTTAAAAAACACATAGACAGATCTGTGGGAGACAGGTAGCCTCCCGCAAGCACTGTCCCTCGATCTCAGCACATTCCCAGGAGGGAGAGTTAATAGCCTTTCATGCATTTCTCAGTTCACCTTTGTATAGAGCCATATATATA